GCAGGCGGGACCAGGGCTCCCGGGTGATTTCCCAGTGCTGTACTGGTGCCTGAGGCGGTTCTGGTTGCGACTCTTGGCAGGGTTGGCAAGTCCACACCCAATCTTCAATTTCTTGGTCCAACCCTGGCCACCAGATGTAGCTGCGAGCTAGCACCTTCATCTGAACAACTCGTGGGTGTCCGACATGCAGGACTCCTAGCACCTGGCAGTGAAGTTTAGGGGGAATGACCATGCAGCTCCCCCAAAGTAGGCATCCCTTGTGAATTGAGAGTTCGTGTTGGCACGACTTGTAAGCCTGGAACTCAGTCTCTAGCCAGCCGGATGGCCATCCCCTCCACAACCAGTTGAGGACCTGGGAAATCGCAGGGTCCCTTGCAGAGTGCGATGCGACATCGGAAGCATGAAGTGGTGGTTGGGGAAGCTCCTTGATGGCCATGATTTGGTAGGCAGGGGATGGATCAATAGCCAGTTCCTGGAGAGGCAGGTGGCTCAGTGCATCGGCGCGGCCGATAGCCTTACCTGGTTGGTTGGACAGGTTGTAGGTGTAGGTTGACAGGAGTACCGACCAACGGAGCATTTGAGGCAAAAGGACCTGGGATGTCTGGCAATCCAGTGCAAACAAACCCAAGAGTAGCTTATGGTCAGTCACAATCTGGAACTGTCGCCCGTACACAAAATCATGGAATTTTTTTATGCCAGCAACAAGGGCTTCTTTGTCAATTTGTGCATAGTTTCTCTCTGCCAACAACAAGGTCCTGGAGAAGTATGTGATCGGGGCCTCCCAACCATCTGGCAAACGATGACTCAGAACAGCATCGATTCTGTAGGGTGAGGCGTCATCAGCTAAGATGAGTGGCATGTGCTCATCGTAATGCGTGAGAATGGTGTTTGACAACAGCAAGTCCTTGACAGCGGTGAACGCTTGGGCATGCCTTGGCCCCCAGCTCCACGGTGCCTTTCCTCCAGCAGGCGATGCAACGGTTCGGCTACTGATGCCTTGTGTGGCAGGAACGAATGGTAGAAATTAAGGAGGCCTAAGAAAGATTGTAGTGTGCTGTGGATTGCCTTGACCTTACTCTCTGTTGGGTGAATGCTGTCAGCGACAATAAGGAATCCCAAAAACTCAACTTGGGGGGCTCCAAACTGGCATTTCTCTTGCTTTACCTTGAGACCCGCATCTTGGAAACTGTGAAGGACCTCTTGAAGGCAGTCTGCCAGCTCCTCTGTGGATGCGCTGGCTATCAGGACGTCGTCAAAATACGGAACGATGCCCAGAATGTCCCAGAATGTCCCGAAACAGGCCTTCCATGTGGCCCTGGAAAAGTCCTGGGGTGATGCTAACCTCAAATTGCAGGCAGTTAACTTTGAATGCCCCTCTGTGCATGACAATCATTTGGGCTTTGGCTGCAGTGACAGGCAGTTGTTGGTATTCCTGTGTCAAGTGAAGCTTGGTGAAAATCTTGCCTCCAGTGAGCGAAGCTAAAAGGTGACTGACGACTGGTACTGGGTATGCATGTTGTTGCAAAGCTTTGTTAATTGTGTATTGGTAGTCTGCACAGATTCTTACAGTCCTGTTGGGCTTAATGGGTGTGATGATAGGAGTCTCCCACCTGACATGCGAGACTGGGTCCAGCATGCCCTGTGCGATGAGATGATCCAACTCTTCATCGATGTGCGGTTTCAATGCAAAAGGCACACAGCGAGCCTTCAACCGAACTGGTGCCACCATAGGGTCGAGGTCAAAGGAAACCCGGGGTCCTGTGTAGTGACCCAGGGAACCATCGAATACTGCTGGAAAGTCTTTGCACTCAGAGTCCAAATCTGCGTGGGAGATTTGTTGTACTCCCATCACGTGGATGCCTAGTCCATCAAACCAATCAAGTCCCAGGAGACTGGCATGGTGCCCTTCAACCACTATAACGGTCAATGGGCCGTAGAACTTTTTATAGCGAACCATGAATTTGCCAGTTCCCGCAACGGGAATGCGCTGTGTCTGGAAATCAACTAGGTGGAAATCACAAGGCTTGAGCTGTCATCTGTTCCATCTGGGGAAGAGCCGACGTAGAGTTTGCGTTGAGATGATGGTGAGCGCCAACCCTGAATCGACCTCCATCTCGCAGGGAACGTTGTTGAGGACTACTGTCACCTTGATTTTGTTTTTTGTTTGCAGATGATTACTGGACACCGACGAGTGGTGGAGGCACTTGGATGTTGAATGACAATCAGCAGGCATAGAGGTGTACTGTGGCGGTGGTCAGAGTCTGCTAGGCGATGTTCAAGGTGACGTCTTGGCCTTGGATGAATGGCAGACCTGGGCAAGGTGTCCAACCTTTCCGCAATCACGACACTGGGCCTCATGGAACTGGCACTTCCAGCGTTTGTGGTCACCACCACAACTGCCACAGGGTGCTTTAGAAGCAGGTTGTCAATATGAGTGTTTGCGACTCTCAGTCTGAGCTCGGTGGACTCGGTTATCTTCGCTGTCAGAGTCTTCTGTACTCTCCTGATGCACCGGCTGTGGCTTGCGTGACATTGGTGGACTTCTGGATTGGCGCATGTCTTTGGTTTTCTGCTCAGCAACCTCTGCAGCAACAGCTTCCTTGAATGCAGTCTGGAAGGTAAGCGTTTGCTTGGCAAAAAGCTACCGTTGCAGTTTCTTGTCCCGAAGGCCGCAGACTAGCATCTCTCTGAGTCTATCGTTTAAGTCCACAAAATTGCACTGCCGCGCTGTCTTCCTGAGTGCCGTCACATAATCAACAATTGACTCGCCTTGGGCCTGGTCACGCTTGTGGAATGCATGTTGACATGCAATTTTGGAAGGCTTAGGTGAAAAATGTTTACAAAGCTGAGACTTTATTGTGGTGAAGTCAGTCGCCTTGAGTTCAGTCGGTGCCACCAATGTTCGAGCCACGTCGAAGATGTTTTTTCTGCAGACACGGAGGAACGTGGCTTTCAGGAGGTCTATTTCAGTTATTTTCTGAGCAGTAGCATAGAATTCAAAATGGGAGAAGTAGGTGTTCCAGTCCTCTGTAGTTGAATCGAACGGCTCGAAGTGGCCCTTGGCGGCCATCGTAGTTTCATGCTGGAGTGGCAGGTTGCTGTAAGCTGCTTGTTGTTTCAGTGGGCCAAGGCGACAATTCCTTGCCAGCTGCAGTGATTAGCTCAGGTTCTGTGGGTCTGCCTACCCACAAAATCCCATCCTCGTCACCAGTATTATGTACTGAGATTGAGGCAGCGTTTCAAACAAGTGATTTCTTTATTAGCTCAGAACACAGACAAACAACACACAGAACGACCCAACTATATACAGTTTGAAACAAGAAAACCACACCCCCTGGAACAATAACAACCAATCAAAGATGCGTGCTTATGTCCAATGGGAATTGTCCCCACTGAAAGTCAGAGTCTCTCCGGATTGGTCTGTTAGCAACAGTGACCAATCCAGTTGCTGTGTTTAGAATGCTGGCAGTCTATAGAGCTTGCGACCAAAGCTCACGCTTTACATAGAAACCAGATAACCCAACACATAACATCATGCTACTGAGATGAAAGAACCCTCCTCATGCTGGTGTTGCCTCAGTTGCAAAAAGATTTATAGTGGTGTCAGCAAGAGTTGCAGTATGGGCTCTAGTCAAATGACCCTGTACTTTTTTATATAGTCCAGGATGAAGTGGCACTGCTACTGTGGTAATGTAACAGTCCACACCAAGATAGCTCTGCTTTGTAGGCCTTATTTATGTACAATACGGTATGTTAATAGAATAGGGAATCTGGGACTTCTGAGTCAGTCTGATAGCCCTAAGTCATATGCAACTGAGCAACAGAACCAAAATAGGTATAAATGTCAGTAGAATTGATTCTGGCTGATCTGGAAGCATTTCTAGCCAAGCCACGAAAAGTCAGGCCAGGAAGAACCAATGAATTTGGGATGTGTTTATGTGAAACCACATAGAGGATTGGAAGGATAAGGCTTCCCCTTATGTCTCTGTTGCCTCTGAACATTGAGAACATAAGAGCAGTTGTGCTGGAATGAAGAGATGGTCCATCTAGTCCAGCTTCCTCTGTCATGCAGTGACCAACCAGATGCCCTTGCATGTGGCTCACCAGAAAGGATACCAGTGGACGGGCTGAGACGTTGACACGTCCTTGCTGGTCCTAAGACAGTTTCACACAAATACTACCTTCATTCTTTTTTTAGCAGAAATAATACAGGATCTCAATGCAAACAACATGAAAATAATGGGAGTGGTGGATGGATCTCATCGTAATAGGTTCTCAGAAAATGAGAAAAGTCTTTAACCTTTTAAAAAAAGCAAGGAAGGAAACTGGCCAACAGGATCCTAGTGGCCTCTTTGATTTCACACTATTTTTATCTCTTAATAGTTGCAACAGATAACCGTTCATTATTATATTCCTGGTTACTAGGGCAGAGCACGTAAGTAGAGACCTTAGTGGTTGAGGCTTCTCAAACAGAGTGCAAGAAATGGCTCTGAAGACTCTGACCTTTTTTGCAAAAGCACAGGACCAGGATTGAACACTTGTACTTATGAAGGTTAAAGAACTGGCAGCAGTGGAAATTTAGCCTGCTGATTTATCTTCAAGCCAAGTATAGTCCAGACAGCTGCAATATGAGTTTCCTTATAAATCCATGACAATACCCTTAACTCTGACCTCTGCAAGTAGGCAAAAGAGACCAGAATTTCATTCTTTATACTGTTCTTTCTTTTATATTTTTAATGGTCAAGGCATGTCTGGTGAAGACAGTTTCTGTTGTATTTTTCAACTGAACAAGTGTACACAATACACTTTAGGCATGCTGCATTCAGTGGTCTGGATTGTTTTGGGAGAGTCGCAATACAGGGATGAAAAGCCTTTTTAAAAAATAGACATTCATTTTCAATACAAAGAGCTTTCATTCAAAATTGCCTTTCATATAAAATTGTATATGTATTATTTACATCTGGGTAAATGATGTGTTGAAATCTTTATTTACAATGCAGGATGTCATCAGTTAAAGGAAGGAGAAGACTGATTGCAAATTACCAGGAGAACTCTTGTTTATTACCTGCCCTGAACAGCTGAAGCTGATCCTGAAACTTTTCAGAATGCCATGAATGGAGCAGAGGAGACACAAGTCCTTGTTTTTGTCCTTGTGGATCTTATATGTTCCTAACCATGTCCTGCAGGCTGATTTTATGCAATTGACTTCAGTGGGATTTATGGCCATGTAACACTGAATAACATGGCAGATGTACTTTCATTTGTAAATCCAGATACATATTGGGGCAAATTGTATTTCCTCCATTTTAGAAACCAAGTAAGGAAAATTAGAAGTGCAACCCTAAACAGTGTTACACCCTTGTCAGCCCACTGACTTCAATGGATTTAGAAGGGTGCAACTCTGTTTAGGATTGCACAGTAAATTACAGAATAAAAGCACACTTAGTCCAGAATTAAAACTTCTTTATTCTAGATTTATTATTGTCACCTAATTGTAAGTATTCCAGACTGATCTACACTGAATACTGATTCTGTTCTCACCGTTATTCAGGCTGCCATGAGAGCATCTGTTCGTTATTTGTTAATGTGAATAACCCCCCCCATAACTCAGCCTTGCAAATAAGATGTAACTAGCCCTCAAAAGGTATCCTAATATATATCAATGTGGTTTTTTGTAGAATAAAAGAAATGATGTCTGCAAAGTTTACAGGAGTTTATAAAGGCTGCCCAGAAGTAATTTCTGGTCATTTCAGGTAACCAGGCAAATGACTATTTACAACCCTGCCACAATATACACATCAACAAAATAGTAACTGGGATATGGCACACTTGGAGTATTGTACCAGCGTCTCAAGCCTGCATTACTTGCACTAGTACAAAAAGTCACCACTGCTAAAATTCAGCATCACCAAAAGTTACTCTGTAGTATTAAAAATAGATAAAGACAATATATGGCCAGGGAAAGATGGGGCTGGGACTAAGGATAGAACTCTTCTCTTGGAAGAGCTGGCTGGGACTCACATCTCGATCATGCAGTGCTGGTGGGGATATACCTACATCCCTACCCCAAACAGACCACATGTAATAGCCCTTAGGAGAAACATCACCACCGCTGGATGTAAACCTGGACAAATAGTTCCACTAAGAAAGAATTAGACAACTGGGGTAAAACCTCTGAATCAAACCACAAGTGTGCAGTGTCAGCTTGCTTGAATGAACAAAATGGCTTATTAATCAAAAATGGGAAATCTACTGAGAAGTGTGATGTCTCCCACACAAAAGACGGAAGATGGATGGATGGTTGATTGTGCCAGCCAGGTCCCCACCTATTCTTGGAAGCAGTGGAGAGATTCAGGCACCACTCCCACCACACTGGCACGTAAGCCCTAGGAAGCCGCAGGGAAACTGCAGTCACATTCTGGCAATCTTGTATAGGGGAGAGTGAGAACATTAATACAGATCGAATCCCTGGAATCATGTAGAGGTGTTGGCCTCTAAATCTCAAAGGAAGGGAGGGGGTAACCAAACCTATAACCTCCCAGAGGCCATAGATCTAATGCATTTTCCAGACTGCAGCCACCTTCTGGGTTTTTGCCAGTGTTGTGGCAGATCTAATGATTGTGCTATCAGTGTGATCATTGCACACTTACGTGTTGTGACCTTGACAGCGGCCTCAGACCAGGGTTCCTGCCAAATCTGCAGAAACACCCTCCCAGGTTCCACCTTGGCTACCCTTGTACAGGTACACTCTAAAGCGAATAAATAAATAAATAACAGCATTCTGCTAGCCCCCCCCTTCACCATCTTTTACAGCACTTATAACACGCATTCAGCTGCTATCTGCCACACCCCCACACCTCATTTGTCTCTCTCCCAATGTTCTTGTCAATCCATTCCTCCCCAGTCCATTCTTGTCTTCTTGCTCAGTTTCCCTTTACCACACCAGTCCAGTCTTTTCTTCTCAGTCCTCTCACTCCCTGCTTCTGTCGGTCTGCAGGCCTCTCCCTCACGTCATTAGGCAACTACTGAGCATCCTGCTGGGCCTCCTCGTGATGCCTCCGATGAGCTCTCCACAGCTGCACTCTCTGTGTCGCTCCTGCCCAATGCTCCCTCTGCCAGCTCTTTGGCTGCATCTTCTTCTGCTACTCCAGCAGCCTCCCCCTTGCTTTCCCCACAGCTAGCCTTTAAACCTTCCAGCTGCCCGGCTGCCTCTGCATTCCCCACAGCCATAGCATCTGGCCCCCTCATCCTCCTCCCTAACCATGCTGTACACTACCTCTGGCTGCTGCCCTGACTTTGCAGGGCCTACTCATGTGTCACATGTTTTCTTCACACACACACCCCGGTCAGTCTTTCACATTCACATTGTGGATTGGTTTTCCATCCCCCCCCGGGGGGGGGGGTTGTGCATGCGCTGAAGTGTTGCAGTGCTTCAGCAGGTCAGTCTTTCCAATTCTATTTTGGGATTGGTTTTCCCGGGGGGGGGGGGGGTTGTGCATGCGCTGAAGTGTTGCAGTGCTTCAGCAGCCTCAAAGGGGGCTGAGAAATCCCCTTATGAGTACATTCCCCATCCACCACACCAAACCTGAGAGTCATACCACACCAAACCTGAGTACATGTCTCACCCCTTATTGATTGCCTCTTTTCCCGCATCTGAGCATTCTCTCTCATCCCTCCCCCAATTTTGAATTCCTTTACCTGATTTGCATTAGTACACAGCTCATAACAGCGTGTTTCCTTCTATGGCATGAAGGCTAGCTGCGCACACTGCACGCACTGCAAATGTATTTGAAAATGGCGCCCTGGGACATGCTAGAATTTGCTCTTGAGTGTGAGTGAAGGAATGGTGAAGAAAGCAATGATTGGCTGCGGGTGTTGGGCCTCCCAATGGAACTGACCATTTGTTTCAGTGCAGGTGCCCTCCAGCGCTGAAACGCTGGAATACAAATGAGAAAAATGCTTGCGGTAATCCATGAGGCAGGGGAAAAAATGTTCAGATTCCAAGCAAGAGGCTATCTTGCCAATTCATTCTGCAATGGGAAAAAAGTATGGGAAAAACTAGTTTAGGAAAGAAGGGGGGGGAGAGACTGGGTCAGCACTGAGATTTTAACAAAGTTGTCTGGACACAAGAAAACCCCCAGTAACGTAGGGGAATGAAAATGGAACATTAGGGCAATTTCGAAAACACCTAACAGGGAAGGGCAGTCATAACAAGCACTTTCCCCCTTCTTTCCTAGGTTTCTGATGTTATTGCATATAACAGGAGTGGTACCTATCACCCCCCCCAAGTATTAGCAAATCCTTATACACATTGGCACAACATTCCAAAAACATTTCTGGCAAAGTAAGACACAGGATGCTGCCATGTCTATGTCAACAAAACAAACCACTCAATTCCTTCAATTTATGAACTCACATCTGCAATTTTAATACGGGATCTGGTATTCAAAGAGTTTGCCTCTGCCATTCATGATCCTTGGAGCCCCAGTCTTTTCTTAGAGCAAAAATAAAATTTGTATACATGCATGGGTAAGACATGCAAGTGATATGGATGGCTGCTTGAGGTCAGTACTGACTAGTTGAAAAGAATTTGTTTCTAGCAGTAAAAAAACCACTAAATAATACTGTAGAGTGCAATCTGTTTGAATATTTGTCAGCTTAAGTTGTCTTGTGTTACAGCAAAAAACAAGAATCTGAGCTGTCAAGGAAATCTACTGACTGCATATATGCTTCATTACCCTTGGAAGACCATCCCTGGGCATGCAGAAGCTTGCCTTAAAAGCCAAGGAACAGCCGTTTCTGTAGACATTTGGTTTTACCCAGGTCTATTTTTGGGCAGGAATTCACAGGAACTGAGTTCCGGCTGGCTCCTGAGTTGGCCACGCCCAGCAGGAACTCATTAGCATAATAGGCCACACCCAATAGCAGAAACTCATTAGGATTGGCTACATTAGGGGTGTGTGGCCTAACATGCAAAGGAGTTCCTGCTACAAAAAAAGCCCTGGGTTTGGACAACAAACAAGGTAAACAGAATAAAAAGGGAAAGGTGGGTGTGGCTGGATGACCACACTTCTGGTAACATGGGCGTGTGGCCTAATGTGCTAATGAGCGGTGCTGTCAGGGTGTGGCCTAATATGCTAATGAGTGTTGCTGTTGGGTGTGGCCTATTATGCTAATGAGTTCCTGCTGGGCTTTTTCTACAAAAAGAGCCCTGGTTTTACCAAATCCAACTGGAAAACTTAATGCAATGCTAATTCAAGGAGAGTATTTGAACTATTCTAATGACACACGAGCACATGAAGCTGCCTTATACTCAATCAGATCCTTGGTCCATCAAGGTCAGTATTGTCCACTCAGACTGGCAGGAGCTCTCCAGAGTCTCAGGCAGAGGCCTGTCGCCTCATCTGCTACTCTCTTCCTTTAACTGGAGGCTCTGGGGATTGAACCTGGGACCTTCTGCATGCAAAGCAGAGGCTCTTCCACTGAGCCGCAGTCCCTTTTAATGTTGTTTCATATTGCATTGTACTGCCCCAGCTTTATTTGGACTGAATCTGCAACATGCTTCTTGTGCCTGTGAAAGTACCTGGAAATTTGATGCAAACGTATTAACGTTGCAGTATTGCTGGAGTTGCAATTCCAAGTCGCTCAGAGGAAGCATTGTATTGGAAAATACGATTAAAGATGAGTGGACAGAAGCTGATGTAGAATGGCGGCCTCAAGGGACAAACAAGTCAGTGCATGTTATGAAGCACTACCTCAGACTCTTGTGATTTTGTTTGGCTACAAGCAAAACTAGGGCTGCCACTGTTTTACTTGATTCCTTATGCCTTGACAGTTGCATGAAAGACTGAAATCCTGTAGGTGAAACTTTCCCCCCACCACTGCATTTTTATACCTCGGAAAATGGTTCCTGTTGTGGAACCTGCAGTTCTTTCAGTGAAGAGAAAATGCCACACCAAGCAACTAATCGCTAGATCCAGTGAGCCTTTGTAACAGAAACACAGAGGATTGGGGCTACAATGCCACAGCACACTGACTTTGCAAGCTGACTCAGCAGCATGGAAAGGGGGCTACTGAACTAGGAACCAACACTATCAATAGGTGTCGGTGCGTAAATGGTATGCCTCTGAGTTGGTGGTACTGAGGTTCATTACAAAAAAACCCATACAGTCAGGTCAGTCAAAAACCTGGTAGGTGATTGCAAAAGATGATGCCCATATCTTAGGCCTCCATCATATTTGTTTTCAGTCATCCAGGTAGGGTTGCCAAGTGGACTCACCCCTCGGAGCGGGGGGAGCCTCGCCGTGGTCCGGGAGTTCTTCAGGGATGCGTGCGCATGAAGCACGCGCACGCCGGCAGCACATCATCAGAAGTGAACGTTGTTGACGTGGGGGGCGTGGCCGAGCTCGTCGGGGGGAAACCATATCCCCCCGACGAGCTCAGCCATGCCCCCAATGTCAGCAACGTGGTGACGCAGCTTCGGGGTCGGGGTTCCCCCCGGGGCCTGATTCCGCCGCGGCGGAAATCGGGCCTCTGAAGCGGGGGATTCCCCAGCCCCCAGCCCCATTTGGCAACCCTACATCCAGGCCAGTGACTTCTCTACATAGGAAAGCCTCATTCTGTAGCTGAAACCTTTGAAGTAGAATGAGGAAGAACCTGGTGGAGTTCATTGCATCAGACTGCCACTGAGTA